ATAAAAATAACTAAATGTGTTCTACACAGAGAATGTGGAAAATTGTTATTCAGATCATGGCAAGGAACATTAGATAGGATTTCAGATTATATAAAAGCTTGTTTTTCCCAGCACAACATTAATAGGGAGGTAGTATATTTAAAAATGTTTAATATTTGTTAAAAATTATATATTTAACTTAGTGTTTTAGAATAGATACATATAAGCATTTGACTATTATTTGAACTGAAGGACCTTGAAATCTCTTAAAATATTATTAGTGCTAAAGGTGTACTGTACAGTATGTTACAATTTTGATACTGAAGTGGACACACCGTTTAAATATTACATAAAGTTTTTCCAATGGTCATCCCCAATAGCTTCTAAAACATAATTTAATAATATATATTTTGAGTAGATTTAGAGTTTTCACAGAGATTAAGTTCAGATCCGTGTTATTTAGTTACTCAAAGGACCATATTTTACTGGCTGAATTGTTGATGTTGATGTTTTGTTGATTTAAAAAATATATGGGAAATTATTTCAGATTAGTGATTCATAGAGGGTTTTAATTTGTACAAATATTGTTTATGAAACATGGTCTGCATATAACCACTTCCTTGCTAAAATGTAAAAATATTTTAAAAAACAGTTGATGAAACAAAAGAGAGAATATAATTCAATGATTATAACGTCAAGTATCTGTGATTTTGAACATTATTCTTTCCTTTTTTGTTAAATTCCTCTGTCAGCACTTGCAAATGCTCTGCACTCTGACTTTTAAAGTTTAAGTGATCTTAGTGATGTGAGCTGAAACAGAAAAAATGAAGTAGCATTAAGTGAAATTCAACTCTTCCCCTGTCCAATGATGCAAGCTGAAGAAGATCCATTATCCACTATTACTCAATAAGGATTTGGGTACTCGTCCAACAGGCATATTTACAATACTGTTATGGGCCAGAAAAGGAAACCAGTTTTAACTTTTTCCTTTTCAATTTTACTTGTAACTTACTATCACGTAAACACAATGAAGCTGAAATGTTTTTCTAAGGTGACTGAGCCTCTGTTGCACAGTGAGGTGGATTAGTAAATTAGTAGAATTCACTAAGTGAAGTACAGTACATTCTATGATGTCTTAACTGTACTGTACTGTATTTCTTGTTTTTTTTAAAGAAGAGCTCTAATCCATTGTTTATGTAGATTCGGGATCTTCTTTAGATGATGTTCATTCATTTTCTAACCAACTCCAAGGTTAAAAGGTGACAGTGACAGTTTCCAGGAGCCGTTTAAATGAAATAGTAAAATCATGTCACAAGCAGACAGCTAATTGTTTCATTAAATGTCCTGTACAAAAAGGAACATGATATCAGAATAGCATAACAAAGCAGGAAAAAATGAACTGATAAGTGTCTGTCTGTTTCTGTTGGCTAATTCAACTCTAAGGCTAATTCTAATTTGATTTACAGCTGGTGAATGTGATGTCTCTTCACTGGACACAAAGCCAATAATTATTTGTAAGGAAGGAATGGTGGGAAAATCTGCGTAAAATAAAAAATGTCTTTATTAACAGGCTTTTGATGTTGATATAAAAGTGCCTTTTACATCAAGTGTCTCCTTAGACTGCTTGGCTAACAGAGGTTGACTTGCTTAAAGATTTTTCTTGTGCAGTGTTGATTAGATTATAGCATAAAAACACACCTGTTGCATAATGTTTACCACAAAAAATAACATTAAGAAACTAATTCTGTAATACTAAAAAAGCATCTTGAATGGTCTATTTAAGCAAATTCATATAATATATTCAAGTAAGGGGATTTAACTCAAATCAAATCCAAACATAATTCTTGTATATATCTGTAGTACTGCATACTACATAATTTAGAAGAGACAACATCAGTGTAAACTCTGTTTGAATTCCTGCACCATATTTCTGTGCTAATAGCAATTTCTATTAACAGACAACTTGACCTGCGGATTGAACTCAAAGCATTCGCAAAGAGGAACAGAATTTAACCATTGTATGACATTTTAAAATAAAGCCATAGATAAAAGGCTGATAAACAATGGATTGGAGCTCTTGTTTAGACTTATGGTTAAACCCTGTTGTTATACAATCAGGTGTGTATTTCTTTAAAAATAGTAACCATGCTGTCATCTCTCATGCCAAATGCTTTGGCGCTGTCCTGAGTGATTCAGCTCATCACTACCTGCATTCATTGTCAGCTGTGACAGGTCCCACAGCTGTCACCTTCCTCTGTCAGACACCTGTCTCTTCCCAATGCCAGAACTGAACACAGATCAGTAGCTGTCTAGAGGGATGTTTTTCATCCTATAAGTCTATTGACAGCAGTTTTAACTTCTTCATTACATTTGGCGTAAGTGGAAGACAAGCACTCGCTTCAACTAAACCCCTGTGAAGGATCTTTGTCGGGCTATTTTTTTAGAAAATCATTTAATTGGCGAATGGATGAATGTACTGTATCTTTTTGTAAAGTTTTAATGAGCCAGACCATGTTGATTACTGGGTTTTGCACCAGATGTCTTACCTCTTACACCCTTGGCAGGAATTATAGTCCTCTATTCTCTATCATTACTTTGAATAATAATAATTATTATTCCATCCATCCATTTTCTAATCGCTTCATCCAATTCAGGGTTCCGGGAGAGCTGGACCCTATCCCAGCAAGCAACAGGCACAAAGCAGGATTCACCTTGGATAGGACACCACTCCATCTAATACAACAACAACGGCAACAATAATAATAATAATAATAATAATAATAATAATAATAATAATAATAATATAAAATGCAAATCATACCTTCCTTTTCATCTATAGCAAAGGGAAATGTTTATTATTTTAACTAAAAATAGGTTGTGTTGCTTTAGGAACAGATTTATGTTTTGTCTTTAATAAAATGTCCTGAACTTTTTGCGCAAATCAAACTAAGCACAAAAACTGCATGGAATCCCTGTAGTTCTGACGTAATATTATTTAAGTCCCAAAGAGACAACTGGACTGATCCAGAATCTGCAGTGGACTTCACCATTACAGAGAATATGTATCCATAGCCAATTTTGAAGGTATTCAGTATATAAAATTTGGAATTTTATGGTGTTCTTGTAACATCTCGATGTTTTCTGGATAAAGTATTTTTTAAAGCAAAGCAATTCATTTAACACTACACATACATACACACATCATAAGCCAGCTGCTATATCACCATGCGATGTTAATATTTTGATTTTTCTTTTTGCATCATGCAAACTGACCATAAAAAAATGTTCACATTTTTCACCGCAGAAAGTGTTCATTATCTTTAAAGAAGCAATTGCTCAGAAATCACAATTTCACTTTAGTCTACCTGCACTGTAACAATGTGAATTCAGTTAATACAAGGTGTCAATGTCACAAATTAAATTTCAAAAGTGACAGGATCTCCCTATGCAGAAGACCAGTGGCCACACAAAACCCAAACACTGCCTACGTGATTAATGCCTTTAGGTTTTTATTCTTCTGGAATGCAGACTAACTGTTGTGTTGTACTGTTTTCTGTAACACATTTCTGATATAATCATCTCTTTTAAACGGAGCTTAAATCAAAGGTGTGTTTTCTTTTAAGAAAGTCTGTTGGATTCAGTAATAAACATTTAAATTAATCTTAATAATAAGATATAGCCAGCAGCCATATCACCTTACAACTCAAACTGGTAGCCCACTGAAGCTCAGCAGGTGTGAGCCTGTCTAGTATGCGGCTGGGAGACCTGGTGGGAAAGCTGAGGTTGCTGTTGGAAGAGATGCTAGTGGGATTTTTAATGACCACAGAGAGTCAGGACCTCAGTTTTACATCTCATCCAAAGGACAGCACCTTTTTGCACTATACTGTCCCTATAACTATACTGGGGCATTAGGGGCCACACAGCCTGTAGGGTGAGCACCCCCTAATAACTCCACTAATACCTGTTCCAGCAGCAACCTTAGCTTTCCCAGGTGGTCTCCCATCCAGGTACTGATCAGGCTCACACCTGCTTAGTTTCAGTGGGTTGCTTTGATCACTGAATCTGAGACCCTTCCATCTCGGTAAACACCACCTTGCTTTGGAGCTGGAAATGTTGGCACAGCCAGGTGTTACCAATTGTACGTAGATTCACTTCATGAAATATTTTTAGTGTTAATACAAATTTATTCAAATTGATTACAGGTAAGTTATTACAATTAGCAGTAACTAGAAATTTTAATTATCAGCTATACATAAATACTGAAGTCTTACTTCCATTAACCATATCAGTTATTGGGTGGAGCAGGGGCACTGTGGCTGGAAGGTTGCCAGTTCAAATCCTGCAGCTGGCAGAGGAATCCTACTCTGTTGGGCTCCTGTGCAACACCCTTAACCCCAACTGCTCCAGGGGTGCTGTACAATGGCTGACCCTGTGCTCTGACCCTAAGCTTCTCTCCCTGTCTGTGTCTCATGGAGAACAAAATGGGGTATGTGAAAAGACGAATTCCTGATGCAAGCAATTGTATATGGCTAATAAAGTGATATTATCTTATTGTGAAAAAATAGCTAGAGAAGTAACTATAAGATATCAGTTTTCTAGGTAATCTGGGTTTGAAAAATATGCATTTAGCTTGTTAGATTCTTTTGAACAGGCAGCAGCAGTAACAGATACCAGCAGAGCATATAATAAGGTACACTACTCAGTATTTAGATTTTAAAATATTTCCACATGACTGGTAAACTATAGTAAAAATGATTAATTATATTTTAGTTTGTTGAAGTTATTTGTATTTAAGCCTAAAATTCTGGACGATTTTGTTTTTCTTAAATAAAATATAAATGATAAATAATGAATATACCCGTGGTTAGGTGATTATGAGCGGTCTTCGGGTGGGCGCATGAGATTGTTGCAAGCTACATACTAATTTTAGCACGGCTTGGTCATTGTGCTGTATGCAGATCCGACGGCGGAACTGTGGTGTGAGAAGCACAAGTTTCCGCGGGGTGGGGTGTCAGCGCTGCTGCCGAAGGCGGACTCCGGACAGAAAAGGACGGGGCACGCAGTAACAGGCGGCTGGAGAGCGATCAATGCAGACATGTCGCTGTGTTCGGTGGTTCTCTCAGTGTTGAAGGTGTATTATATCGGCTTTAAGGTTCTCCTGTACCAGCTCTTCAACAAATCGTTCACTCTGCCAGGTTAGAACCGACTCTTTGCTCTGAAACAGACATAACACTTGACCAGTTTTCCTTATTGTGGATCGTTGTGACAACTGCTTACAATTTTCCAAACAGGCCAAAGTCCATGCGTAATACATATCTTTTAGTATCGTACTCAGAGTCATAGTTAGTGTGTACAGTAGCTGTGTATAATTGTTTTCTAATTATGAAGAGGTTATTTGAATTTGATCAAATCGTCACAAGCACAGTATGTGTAAAAGCGTGTCTGAAATGATATCACTGGCACATTTTTCTTATGTACTGTTTAGTCACTCTCAAAGATAGATCGCTGGCAGTTATATTTAATCGTTACAGTATCTTAAAGCGGAGGGCTGTACCGTATTTGTACCAGCTTCTCGTAGCAGTTTCTTGATCTTGTTCCTTGTAGTGGATTTCTGTCTCTCCTTAGCAGAGGAGGAACTGCTCTCGATCATATGATTCCCATTTCGTTTAAACGGATTTCGCTCATTTTCATCTTGTACCATCTTTTGGGTATTTTGAAGCTATCAAGCAGCGATTATACAATAAGAACTTTTAAATTATATGTGAAACCAATAATAGATATTCTTCTGAATAATGTTATGTAAAATATACAATTGGTTTTCACAGCTTCAAAAACTTGTCAGTATTTCTTAAGTTCAGTATTTCATTTCTAAATTTACTTTCAACCACCCGTAGTTGTAACTGTATTGTATACCAGGTGATCAGCTTCCACTAAGTGCTTCGTGACTATGACCCTGTGCAGTAAATATTTGGCTTAAGTCCTGTTTGATGAGGTACAGATTAAATACAGTGGTGCCATTCTTCACGTGATCTCCAGTGTGAAACTATAGGTCATAAAGGTCTGAAATGTAGAAGTGGACAATTGTTATAACTTAAGCAGCAGCAAGATTATTGTTACAGTATGCTTAACTTTAAAGTCAGTTGTCCTAATATACAGTATACACACCTATTCTGGAACAGTGTTTTATTTAAAGAAACAAGTATTTAAATTGTAATAAGGAAAGCAGCTACTTGTACATCTTTTATTGTGTGGTTTCAGGATAACCATCCTAGCAGCACTGTGAGGGCAGACCAGTGCTGCCGCAAGTGGTGATAGTGGACCAGTAGGTGGCAGTATTCCCTGTGGACAAGAATTCCCCCCACCCCAAAACAAAAGCTTTAGGAGGTGTCACTGCTTGGACATGATGTTAACCTGAAGTCATTAAAGATCCCGTGGCACTTTTGAAAAGAATCAAAGTTTCAGTCCTGACTGAATTTCATGTTGTCCTTTTGCAGGCTGACCTCCTTCAATTTCAACCTTAATAAAAGGTGCGGTTTTGCATTTCTGCTAGCGATCCTCCATGCACTGGGGCTGCTTGCTGCATAAAGGCTGCCTTGTGTCAACCCAATGGTGGCTATGCTTCTGTGGTGACTGTGACAGACATCCAGCATTATATACCATAAGGTTGTCGGCCTACATACAGTAATAAAGCTGAGCCTATAGGACTAACATCAGACTGAGCAATCTGGCCCCAGCCTCTGCACCTGTCTGCGAAGTAGAGAAAATAATCAGCAGCTTTGTCAGGTGACTACTGTGGTGCTGTTTGTTTTATTCTTTTAACTGATCAGAATCTCCAGAGTGCTTCTTTGTTTCCACGGAACGAGTCGTACTGTAGGTTACAGGTACAGGAGCAGAAGTGTCTGTAGAGTCACTTCATTTCAGAAGTGAGAGGCCGGGAAGTGTTTTCCTGTCTGCCGCTGGTGCAGCAGAAGGACTGTGGAAGATGCATCCCAAGTGATGCCGAATCTGCTGAAACTGGTTTAACAAAAGATGTGGGTTTGCCTGGCAATTAAAATGCAAGAGAAGGGGCTTCAAAGTTATCTTGCTCTGATTTGCGTGCCATCAAGCAAATTGATGAAAAAAAAGCAGAAGAGGAGGAAACAACGCCAGACTCTTAGGGGATGTCAAGTGGGCAAAGCCGACGTGTTAGCTTTAGCTAGTATCAAATTCAATTATCCAAGCAGAGAAAAAAAAATCTGAATCTGAATAATGAGATAATACCTCGCAAGCTATTTTTGTGTGTTTGTTGGTGCTGCATTGCCCAGACTAAAACTTGAACTCGCGTACAGTTTTCACTTTCCGATGCTTAATTATATTTTGTAGAATTAAACTTGGCTAAAGGATCTTGTTTGCAGTTTTTGTACAGAGGATTCATAAGAAAGCTGAAAGCAAGTGTACTATCAAGAGAGAAGTCTGTATAATGAGTTTCTTCGCTTCTCACAACAAATCATCATTTGAAGTCTAACAGGAGATGCAGTTCACTGGAATGGAGAGAAGCGAGTGCTTAAAAGGATTGTGGCTCAGTCACAACCGGAATGTTGTTTCGTATTTTCATTTAGGACAAAGATGTGGCAAGGCAGGCCAGCACCTTGGTGCGGTATTTTGCATGGCTACCTCGCAGTGTTTGGGGCCCTGGGCTCATTCTGAGGGTGCTATCGGCATGGAGTTCGTATGTTCTCTCTGTATTTGTGTGGGTTTTCTCTGGGTGCTCCGGTTTCCTCCCACAGTCCAAAGACATACTGGTAGATGAATTGGCTTCTGGGAAAATTTGCTCTTTTGTGAGTGTGTATGTGTCTGTGTGTGCCTGGCGTCCCAATCAGGGTGTATCATGTTTTTCTTCCGTGGCTTGCTGGATTCAGTTCCAGCTCCCTCTATGACCCGCTACTGGATATAAAGCAGTTTCGAAGATGGATGGATGGAAGATTAATTTAAAACCTTACAGCATGTGAACCAACATCCAACATCAATTTTTGGTTAAACGTTTTAAGTGGGAGTCAGTAACGAAAACATGAGAATCAGCTGATCAGGTGTTTATTCTGCTTGTAAAATGGGTTGGCAACATGCAGATTTGTGCCTGACATGTCTGGCAGCTCCTGCTCAGCAACTCTTTAAGGTGCCAGAACATAGCATTAACAATGCTACCTCTCAGTGCTGGGCCCTGGGTTCAGTTCTGAGTGGAGTTTGTATGTTCTTCCTGTGTTCAGGTAGGTTTCCTCCAGGTGCTCTGATTTCCTCCTACAATCAAGCACAAACTAGTTGGATAATTGGCTTCTGGGAAAATTGGCCCTGGCGTGAGTGTGTGGTTTTGTATCTCTGTGCGCTATGATGGACTGACATCCCATCCAGGGTGTATCCTGCCTTGTGCCCTTTGCTTCCTGTGAGAGGCTGCAGCTACCCCATGACCCCGAATTGAAAGACGTTGTTAGAAGATGGATGGATGGATGGATGGATGTTGAGAGGAAAATGGGAGGCACAGATGTTAGTGTAAATTCTTTTTCACAATATTCATAATGCACACTGAAAAAGGAGCTTGACTTCTTCCAGTTACTTATAAATTTGAAAATGAAGATTTATCTTTCCTTCTCAGTCTCATACAAATGTAGAGAAGGCCATTTTTAATTCACAGCTATGTACAGTACATTGTGCAAGGATTTAGCAATAAGAACCTTTCACCCATTTTCATCATGTACCCTCTTTTGATTTGTTGCCTACACAGTTGTCTCTGTATTCTTGATCGTCTTGCCATATAAACTTGTTTTTTTTTAAATGTGATCTTCTTGACCTAAGAGGCTGATGTTTAATATTTTCTTTTCAAGTTGACATGTAGGTGAAAAGTAACCTCCAAGGACATACACCAGCAATGGTTTGTATTGTTCTGAGGTCATGTGCAGTTCTGTGATTCACTAGCAGACAGCATGAAGTCTAGAAGATCAGCGTGAGCAAAACTTGAAAGCTGCCTTGTGTTGAGATAAATGGTGTCATTATTTACAGGAAGATGCCCATCTTCGTGCTGCACACAAATGCTTATTAATCGCTAGCGTGTCACTTCAGTGTTTTTGATTGGTCCTTTGGAGATCAAAGTATCTGAAGATGGTTTTATGAAAAACAGGCCAGTGCATCTGAGAAGCAAAACTAGTACAGTACAGTCTTACAGAGCGCAAGTTGGGATCAGTGATGTAGTATAGAGGGCATCTGTTGGCACCAATTGTGACATGTAATCCAAAAGCCTTGGTGCCCAGCTTTTTTAGGACCACCGGGGTGCAGTGGCCTAGATCTGGCCAGCATTTCCTTGTCCTGCCCTGAAGCACTGGCTCCTGGGTCACATGAGCTACCAACGAGGTCAGTGAGGGCTGCAGTCAGACATGTTTCTTCTGTAGCGTGCTCCACATCTCACAGTGTGACCAGTGGCAAATGGCATGTAGGCAAAGGTTCGTCTTCTCCTAGTGTAGGATATTTCAGGTAATTACTATAGCAGTGAGCTGATCCCTGATATTCACATATATATTCCCATTGAGTATAATACAAAATCCAAAGTAAAAAATCATTTGGATACCTCATGCCAATAGGAATCAATGTTGAATGAAGTTGGAGGTGGACACTTTCAGTCCTTGAAAATAGTGCAATAAAGTGTGAGAAGCATAGTGTACATTTTTGAAAATTGACAGTCCTTATTACTTTTTTGCATTGTGTGATCGATCAATAAATGTGAATCCACATTTGCTAATCAGCGGGGTTTTGCAGTTTACAGTGACATCTAATTAATACAGTGCTATGTCCTACTCAGACCTGACCTTGACTGTAGTTAGTGTGGGGGTATATTATAAGGAATAGCCCTTGATGACCCCTATTAAAAAACAGATGAAGAGCAGAGAGGCAGAGGACTTTTTATACCTTTTAACATGTATGATATTTTTCTGCTCCCAAAACTTGAAGCTACTATCCAATCTGTTTGAAGTGCATTAACTGTATAGTCTACTATGTAGTAGTGAGCCCTGCCATAACTCATGTATTTGAAATGGGTACATTAATCATTTATGTTGTTTGGTGTGAAGTTTGTATTTAATCTTGTTGCTGTCTTGATTTGTACATGCAAAAAGCATTCCTGAAAAAGATTAAGGACACCTAAGCAAGCTTAGAAAGTAATTATGGCTGTATTCTGTAGCACTTTAATTTTTCGACAAACTATATACTTATTTTGAAGCACTAGCATGTTTTCACAAGGATCACTACTCTGGAAAACTGGAATTCTGTATTTTGAAGTAGATTGTCAATAACAAGTTACAGAATGGTTTTATCTGTCTCAATAGGTTAATCATGTGTTTTTATATGACAGAGTAATTTGTTTCTCCATGGGGAATCCAATACTATATGGGATCATGCTGTAACCAAATAAGGAGAGAGAAATAATTATCTGATGTTTAGGCTTAGTGAATATAGACATTAGATTCATCCATTATAGTAGTGGCTTTTCTCTGCTTTTCTAAATCTTGTGTGTGATGTGCAGTAGATTCAAACAATGTTAAGGTATGTACAATTACAAGGGATTTAAAAAAAGATTGTGAACTTTGGTTCGCAAACTCTGGTTCCATCCCTTTAAAAAAAATGTATGTCTTTAGGGTTAAATACTGATAAACTCTAAGATTCTTTAAAGCTGTTGTTAATGTATTCATTGCCAAACACTGTTTTCTATTCTGATTTCATGAACTGATGTCATGTCATCCTCTCTGACTACCAAGTGGTGTTTTTAAACAGGGTACTTTAAAGCCATGAACTTGACTCTTACTTTTTTAAGTGTAGCCTGTTTTCAGGTAGAAGACATAGAAAAAATGTTTTGCTTAGTTCTACTTAAAAAACAGCTTTCTAAAGTAATTGCTGAGAGACCTCATTAGAATTTTGTAACGCTAATAATTATGGAATACTATTAAATTGTTAATATTTAAAGTTGTCTGAAGATTTTACTTTCTTTGGTCTAATACCTGAGAGTTTTATTTAATTGTCTTTATTTTTGCATGACCCAACTTTAAATCCTTCTGATTCAGTAATTTAAAAATAGAAGCTTACAAGGTCAGATTTCATCAATCTGTTGTCTCTGATGGAATCTTCACCAGCTCAGAAAATTGGCAGCGGTGTTTTAAACAAATACTTTTAACATTGACGTTTGTGAGCAAATTAACCTGGGACTTGGGGAGGAATTAGACAAGCAGTGAAATCTGTTTTGAGCACTTTAAAAAGTATTTTGGCATCAAAAGTTGCCTAGAAGCATTGTTTCAGATGATATGTGTGAAAAGTGAATTACATTTAAGTTGCCCGAAATTCTAGTTAAATTCATTAACTATCGAATGAATATATAACCCAGATTTTCGGAAATGTGTAGTCTTTCGCTGTGATCCAGAAGCACATTAGAGAGTGTCAGAATACCAGTGAATCAAGCTAAAACCAGGGCATACATTTTGATGTCTTCTTTTTATAAAGGGTTAGGTGCTGTTTTGAAATTCATGTTCGAAGAAATAATCCTCTCCATTTTCCCTTTTAATGTCTCACGCCTTTATCTCGCTGCCTTTGGCAGGTACTCATTAATGAGTGAAGGTTCATAAGGGGATCTGGGTGCCTCGGAAGCAATGGAGATTAAATGCTCGGAGAGTTCCCCATCAGACCTCAAACTGGTCGCTCACCCCAGAGCAAAAAGTAAGGTCTGGAAGTACTTTGGCTTTGACACCGATGCTGAAGGATGCATCTTGCACTGGAAGAAAATATATTGTAGAATCTGCATGGCGCAGATTGCGTATTCAGGGAACACCTCCAACCTCTCCTACCACTTGGAAAAGAACCACCCAGATGAGTTTTGTGAATTCGTGAAGAGCAACACGGAACAGATGAGGGAGGCGTTTGCCACGGCCTTTTCCAAGATTAAGCCTGAGTCGTCTCATCATTTTCCGCAGGACGCCTTACTCATGAAGCCCAGCTATGGGTACGAGAACAGAAAACATCAGGACCTGACCTTGGCTGTTGTCAGCTTCATCTGCGAGGGAATGTACCCCGTCTCAGTGGTTGATGAGCCTGCCTTTAAAACCCTTCTGAAAACGGCTGACTCCAGATACGAACTTCCTAGCCGGAACTACGTATCGACAAAGGCCATCCCTCAAAAGTACTATCTAGTGCGGGAAGCTCTGTTTAAAGAACTTGCAGATGTGGTGTGGTGCGCCGTTTCCACCGATCTGTGGAGAAGCGAGACGCAAAACAGGACGTACATTTCTCTCTCCTCTCATTTTCTAAACAGGTGTAGTGTTAATAGCCTTGTGCTTTTAACTAGGTGCTTGAAAACCTTCGAAGTGCCAGAAGATAACAGTGCTGAGAATATCACACGTGCCCTGTATGAGGCCTTTGTTGAATGGGGGATCAACTCCAAAGTCTATGGTGCCACTACCAACTGTTCCCCAGATATAACGAAAGCTTGTTCTCTTCTCGATCTGCCGGTGCACATGCCCTGCTTTGGCCACACTGTCAATAAAGGCGTTGAAAAAGCCTTCGAGCTTCCTAAGCTAAGCACCTTTTTAAGGCGCTGTAGAAAGCTGGTGGAGTATTTCCAGCAGTCCAATGAAGCGATGTACATGCTGAGAGAAAAGCAGAAGCTGCAAGGCCTGCCACAGTGCATGCTGATAAGTGACAGAGTCACCTGCTGGGTAACCACCCTTGCCATGCTTCAGCGTCTTAAAGAGCAGCAGTTTGTCATTGCTTCAGTCCTGGTGGACGACAGCAACAATCACCACTTGATGCTTGAGACGACGGAGTGGAGCATAGTCGATGACCTGGTAGACTTGCTGCAGCCTTTTAGGCAGGCGGCCGACATGATGATGGCCTGCAAGTACCCCACAATCAGTATGGTTAAGCCCCTCCTGCACATGCTCTTAAATACGACCTTGAAAGCCAAAGACAGCGACCTCAAAGAGGTCAGCATGGCCAAGGAGGTCATCGCTAAGGAGCTGTCCTCCACCTACCAGCAGACACCCGAGATCGACATGTTTCTGAACGTGGCGACTTTTATTGACCCCCGCTACAAAAAGCTTCCCTTTCTTTCTCCCTTCGAGCGGTCCCAAGTAGAAAACCGAGTCATCGAAGAAGCTAAAACCGTGTTGGAGAAGTGTAAGGAAGGCTGTGCAGCTGACGAGCCACTGCAGTTCTCCGATGAGCCGCCTGTGAAAAGGCAGGCAACCTCTTCTCCTCCGCCATCCAGCCATGCTGGCAACTTGCTGGCTGTGATTTTCTGCCCCTCGGGGACTGACGAAAACCAGGAGGAGCTGCACGCTCAAGTGATGGAGGAGCTGAGCAATTTCAAATCGCAGAAGGTTTTGGGGCTGAACGAGGACCCTCTCCGCTGGTGGTCCGACCGCTTGGCCCTGTTCCCGATCCTTCCGAAGGTGCTCCAGAAGTACTGGTGTGTCCCGGCCACGAGCGTCTTTCCTGAGAGGCTCTTCACTTCTTCGGGCCACGTGCTGAGTGGGAAGAGAAACCGCCTTGCGCCCGCGCACGTGGACCAGCAGGTCTTCCTGTACGAGAACAGCCGCAACGGCTACGAGGCCGAGCTGGCGGGGGAGGATGAGGGGGAATGGGGCATCGAACAGGACCAAGCGATAGTTGTTGGAGATGCATTCAGCATGCAGGGCTCTTTTATCAATGCAAAAGACATTGGGTTCTTCTGATCTCTGAAACACTGCATGCATTATCCATGAAGCAGATTCTGTGAAATATAATTTTGAAATTGTTTTAACTAACTTATGAATGAACTGTATATTTTTCTTCATTGGTTTTAGGTTAAAGTATTATACACCTGTCCTTAAAATGCATTGTAAATTTACATCTTACACTTTAACTGTGTAAGGTGAATCTAGTTTAATATGTTTGACTGAAATCTGTATTTTTTTCTATGAAGACAGTGGTGCAGCCTTACAGTTTTATATGTAAATGCTCCTTTGAGAGAGCCTTTTTAGTGTGATCAATGTTTATATGCTTTGTGCATTAAGAATCACATTAGTAGTGCAAGGTTACTTTATTGGGCATGTGTTACTTCCTTTATTTCTAACTGTTTTGTCATACATTTACAGGAAATGTGAACTTATTTACTTTCTAAAGCGAGACTGTTCCATTTGTCTTAGCTGTGTTTTGCCAGTTACATAAAATAACCCGAGAGTGGTCCTAGATTTACAGAAAGAAGATTGTTATGGATTTAATTACTGGCGTTATTGTCTCTTTTGTAGAATGTCCTTTTTAGTGTCTTTTGCAACAAAGGTCATTTTCACTGTTTCTGTACATCTTTGGTGTTGGTACTTGAAGATCATCTACTGGCATAAGACCAGGGAGTCAAAAATAAAAATGGTGAAACGAATGGAGAAATCATAATTATTTCTTGCATCTCATATCATATTAAGGTTGACTTATTGCATTTGTTATAGTATTAGCAAACAAAATATGTTAAATGTCACACAAGTTTTTCCCTTTTAATGTCTTGTAAAGCAGATAAAGCATAGTATGGAGTTTTCATTTTTAAATTAACATCATGTCACAGTCAGAATCCATTCTCAAATGTTTTATTTGAATATTTAACTAACAGGTATCATTTTAACTAAAACTGGGATGGTTGGTTTACTGACATCTATCAGTGGTTGATTTTATCCACTATGATTGCCTCAATTTTTTCACAGTTTTTCAAGTTATGGGAGATGTTTTTTTAAAAAGAACAACTTACAGTACCTTATAGATACAGCACTACTGTAAGAGCCCAGCCTTACCAAAGTGCAGAATTCAGCTGGGTTCTTCTTGTCTGGTTGTGGTAATTGATGTAAATAGTTAATAACTGTGGCACTATTTTTTTTATTCTGTTTCTGAAAATTCTAGCTTTGTATTTAAGGAGTTGTGGAATAGTTCATGTCTGTTGGGCCTAAAATAAAGAATCTTAGTTTAGATATTTACTTGAAGTAACTTTCTTTAGGGTAATATCAGGGTAATTTCTCTTCTTGTGTGAAGCAGCGGGTTTTGGGGTTTTAAATATCTGCACCTCACTCGACCTGAAAAGCTCTTGATGGTAGTAGTTCATTCCTCAGAGCTTTTTCTTGGAAGGTTACTTTTAAAAACCACATTTTTAGCCTGGAAAAACTGATAGAAACTATTGAATGCAGAACGATGAGATTTTAGAAGCAAAATTTTACTGATTTTGATATCTCATAGAAATTGTGCTGGCGGTAGGTATACAAGATAATGTAAATTTACGATGCACTGTTTATATAACAACTTCGCCTGCTGCTCAGAATGATGTTGGGTTTTTTTGTATGGATTTATCTAGTTTGTATTGCTTTACAAATCTACTAAGTTTAATTTTAAAGAAAGTTCCCTCATTGTATGACATATCTTTTATCTTTCCAGCAGTGCGGGAACAGTTGTCTTAGATGTAGGTGTAAATTGGTCACCCTCTTTATACATAAGTATTTATAGAAAAATAAACATTCATGGCTGTCCAAGATTTACACTTGAGTGATTTTTGCTGTTGCAGGAGTATTTAATAAGCTCATTAGGGAAAGAGTTGATTGGGAACAGGTGATGAGGTGATGTAACCTGTTGAATGTCAAGCCTGGTGAAATTCCAGGGCAGAAAACTGCTAATCTAATATAGAGGAATTTAATATGGTCTGCTGAACATGAGGATGCACACAGGTGTTTTGTTGTTATGTAAGAGGCTGGACTTAATTGTCTGTTGCTCTCTGTTTGGTCTGTTCACAAACCAGTAATTTCTAACCTTGTAAGACATTGCAGCCAAATCTGTCAATGGGAGGCCACACTGGGAGATCATAAGTCACGACATTTCACTACGGTCGAGGGGGAGATCCAAGCATGTTGACCTTGGCAGGAGTATCTGTCGCTTTAGAACTTCTGTTCTAGTGGTTGATGGCCCCACCTGACCGCATTGCTGCTGCATTGATCAAATTCCGGGACATAGGGCCTCACTTGCTTCCTTTCCCGTGGTCTCGTGCCGTCTGCGTTACGGTGGCTGTCTTGCACGAGGAGATGGCTGTGGATACCAAACCTGCCAGACTTGAGTGCCATTGGTCGCGGTGGTATGAGCTGGGATGATGAGTGGCACCTAGGTTTGGAGACCAGCCATATCACTCTGCAACTCACATCTGACAGCCAACTGAAACTAAGCAGGTGTGAGCCTGGTCAGTACCTGGATGGGAGACCTCCTGGGAAAAACTAAGGTTGCTGCTGGAAGAGGTGTTAGTGGGGCCAGCGGGGGGCGCTCACCCTGCGGCCCATGTGGGTCCTAATGCCCCAGTATAGTGACGGGGACACTATACTGTAAACAGGCGCCGTCCTTCAGATGAGAAGTAAAACTGAGGTCCTGACTCTGTGGTCATTAAAAATCCCAGGGTATTTCTCGAAAAGAGTAGGGGTGTCCTGGCCACATTCCCCATTGTCCTTTACCAATCATGGCCTCCTAATAATCTCCATCTCTGAATTGGCTTCATTTCTCTGCTCTCCTCTCCACTGATAGCTGGTGTGTGGTGAGCGTTCTGGCGCACTATGGCTGCCGTCGCATCATCCAGGTGGGGCTGCACACTGGTGGTGGCGGAAGGGATCCCCATTACCTGTAAAGCGCTTTGAGTGGAGTGTCCAGAAAAGCGCAATATAAGTGTAAGCAATTATTATTATTATTATTATTAATCCCTCACAACCACATGTACATCCTAGTAGAGAGAGTGTGTTGCACAGGGCGATGCTCATATTGCTTTCAGCAGTGGCCACATGCACTAGTTCTTTTAACAGTGGACAACCTGTTCAGCCGTCCACCAGCTTCTAACTGCTTTATCTAATACAGGGTTGCAGGGGAGCAAGCAATGAGTCAAAAAGTATATATACCCTTGGTGGGAACTACAGTCCATCATGGGGTGTGCACAGATACAAACACTCACACCAGGACCACTTACTCTGCTGTACCTGTATGTCTTCAGACTATGGGAGGAAACCCACGTTAACACAGTGATAACATGCAAACTCCACCTGGACAGCACACTAGGAATCGGACCCAGGACCCCAGCGCTTTTGACGCAGCAATGCTAACCACTGCCCCACCATGCCACCCACAACCTTGTCATTGACAAATGTTAATTCGGGGTAATAAATGTTGTGTGACCTGCTTAATAAAATTCCAGTGCTTGCACGAACGAAAATCCTCATAGTTTTGCGAGTTTGTTGTGGTTATAAGTGGCAAGTTTCTTTTGATGCTCGGCATATGTTAACCACTTGAAAGAGAATTGCATTTGACAGCCAGATGAGATCTTTCTAAAAAAAAGACAGACAAAATTAGTCTTAAATATAATGTCAAGGAACATGTCCCATGGTTGTTAACATACTTTGCTAAACTATGTCAAATTTTATTTTAGTTTAGGCAGTTCCAAAAAAAAGCAAACATGAAATAAGGCAGTTGAAAGCTTCACTGAACTAATATGAGTTTTAGAAGTGTTCTACAGGGGCAGCATTTATTTTGGGTTAGAATCCAGCTACAGGCTACACAAACATAAAATAGCTTTATTAGAGGTATTCTGGGGAAGACTAAGTGCATGTGGTGTATGGAAAGAAACTAGTTTTTTTACAACACTCTCAATTCTGGGAAAAAGACCTGTGTTGACACATTATATTTGTATTTGACTGTCATTACAAAAAAACCTCAGAAATTATGCAGATACAGCCTGGAGCATGTTGGTGTGTCTCAGGCATGAGGTAACATCTTTGAGCTGTATTTTTGTCGTGAATAAATATGAACTATAAAAGAAGATTAAAAAAAAATAACCTTTGGACCACTGTCGATTATATGACCAGTTGCTTGCAATCTTTTAGTGCTGACCAAACAATTTTGTCCAGATTTCTTGTGCTCCAGTGCTCTGATACTGTATGTTAATGCAAAGTCTTGCACATTGATGCTGGTCGATATATAATTAGAGACGTACTGTAGGTTTAAGTGACATAAAATATTAGAAGTCATGCTTAATTGCTGTAATGCAATTAAAATCGCACCACTCCTTCTTCTGAAGATTAGAATTTTTTGTTTTACCTTTTTAAGTGTCTGTTGAACTAAGATAAAAGTAGTTTGCATTAGAAAAGGTAAACACCAGATTGCTGTCTTGTGTAGTTTGTGTCAGCATAGTCATCTGCTGGAGCCTTATTGCTTTTTGAAGAGCTTGTGAAATGCTTCACTGCTGCAATGGAGAATGGTAAAAGACATGTAAATGGTTCCTGCATATCCTTTATTACCTAACCTTGTCTACTCAGCCTTGTCCCAAGCCCATTCCAAGAAGTGAAACATTAAAATCAAATCAGATTTTTTGCAGTATTCAGCAATGTCCCCTGATATGCAGAAATTCTCCCAACAGTCAACGCTGTGATAACAATGTACAGTTTTGTATGATGTTATATTTGTGTGAGTACCAACTGAGATCTTAATTGCTTAAATATTATTATTTCTGTAAAAGGAGGTCCACGTATTAAGTTTCAATTGCATCCGTTTATTTAACACAGATATCTAAAAACTGCATTGCAGCTATTTAAAAAAGATCGCAATGAATTAAAAGAGAAAACAACCAGTTTTGTTTCTGTGGATTTACACTAGGTATGACTCTTTACTGAACTCTTTAAAATTAAGTCATCAGCAATAACATAATTCCATTAATTCTGTCTGCCCAGATGTGTGAATGTTACAATTTTTTGCACCCTTGTTTCCAGCAGTGCTATTCTGTAATATATTAAGAGTGAATTTACTCATTTAAAACACAGAGTACTTTGCTCTCTTGTAGAAGTGTACTCTGCACTAACTCAGTACACAATTTAACTTTTCGACTGATTCTCACCAGGTGGTTTGTAGGAAATCTGCCTGTAATAAAAAGGTCCTCAGCAGCACTCAGATGGCTAAATTCCGGAGAGCCTCCAGCAGAGCTGGAGAGCTGGAGTCTGTCAGGGTTGCATAATCCCCAAATTCTTTAGGACACAGACTTGCCTGACAGAGAACTGTCAGCAATGATGGTCGCTTGCATGCAAGTAATCCATGTGCACAGACGTCTGTGTGTCTGATATGTGTAGAAATGTGTGCATATAGCTGTCTACAATAATTTGCATGCTCTTTTCTTGCTTGGGGGTGCCAAAATCTTTGGCTCAGGACATACTGCAATGCTTCGGCACACAGTGTGCACATGGGCGAAAGAATTCTGCTGCCCTGGCATCTGTGTCCTGTACTGTCTTAACTGTGACAGCAGCTTGTTCAAGATTAGAGCTTTTCAGAATCGAGGGTAGAACATGGGATGTGAGCCTTTAAAGAAACCGTTGAGGAACGACCTTTTCTAATTATTTTCTTTTCTCCTGCCTGTTTATTTTCTGATGCTGCCCCCTCTTTGTTATATACAGTAGTATAGCACGCATCTTCTCATAGTTTGCAGTAATGCTATGTCAGAGATTTTAGTAGTGCTTTCAGTTTACATGTGCAAACCCTGCCATAACAAGGTACTGTAGCAGGTTATTGCACAAACATCACTGTGGGTAGTGACAGGGAGAAAAAAAGTGTTTTGCATTGGAAATTGGATTTTCACAAGGTTGCAGTGTTTGATAGCGCTAACAGTGTGAAGACCCAGGTGCTGATAATCATCCCCTCCTTTCGATACTGTAAAAAAGCCATTTGAGAAAGTTAAGGCAGTGTTACAGTTTCAAAGTGGTTCTGTATCTTCCTATGTGGAAGCCTGGCAGTAGCCATTTTTCATACATTTCATAGAGTATGTAGTAACAGCAGAAAGTTTTGAAAAGTCACATCTTGTGTCATATGGGGGGCTTCTGATTTTTCTAAAATACTCTATTTAATTCCACCATAATTCCACTTAGTTAAATTCACTTTGTGTACTTAAAACCCTTAGGTCACAAAACAAAAATACACATACTGGCCAAAAAAGATTTAAGGTAAATGCACTATTCAAACTTCAGCCTCTGTACCTCAGTTTCAGCTTAGGTCATTAATGGCTCAGATGGCTATACTCTGCTTTAGTTGTACTATGGTATTGGTCCTTGAAAGTTTTCAGTGCTGCAGTTTCTCCTCTGTCAGAATATGAAGGAACAGGATTAGTTTTAGTTCTTGGGTGGCTGATCAAAAATGTCAATGGCATCTCAAAAAACCAAATCAAATTCAGCGTTTTATACACATAAGGATGGCGGAACTCAAGTGTTACCTTTGCAGTAAACTGTTCGTTCTAAAGAAACTTTCCCATACTGTCTCTCACTTTCCCATGCTCTAATCTAAGTAAAGGAGGGAACTGTGGGATTGTGTGTCACACTGGTCAATATATCCTATTGCAGAGATTCCCTTGAGGGAAACAGTCCAGCAGTTTAAACTACGGCAGCAGAGGAGGAGAGCTAAATAACTGCCATTCTTTTGCACAGGATCTGGATAGACTTATAGAACTTGATACTTTCAAGGAGTGAAGTTGGGGTATCCTGTCTTATCGTATATAGAGCAAATACATGTATACGAACTGTGCAAGCCAACCCTGGCTCCCAGAGGTCTTTTAAAAGACTTTAAGAAACATACAAGATAGCTTATGTGAGAAGAGAAGTAAAGATTTTAAGCATCTGCTACATTTAAGAATATCTGACCTTTTTTACTGTTGGAGTCAGGTAAAAACTTTAACCAGCAAAGACCAGGGAAGTAAATGCCTTTACAACATGGCAGAAAAAAGTATGTGATCCCTAATAAGAAATTCTGAAGTGCTTCAATTCACATAGGAAATATATCTAGGATAGGTGTCTACGGTTCAGTAGTTCCACAGATGAGGTGCTCACTGTACCTTATCGGCTTCTGCATTTAAAATAGACCTGGCAGGGTTTGATTCAGCTTTGAGTTTTTTTTATTTTTTTATAATGTTTGCATGAAAAATGTCACATCACAAACAGGCTGAGGATGCAGACTTGGACTGTGAGTGTCAACACCCTACGTTTGAAACAATTACTCGAATATTTCACTAACCTTAAGTTTAATGTTTTTCATTCAATTATCCATACACTAACCAGTTTTCCAACTTCCCCGATCACTGATACATTCCAGGAACCAGATGTAAAGATATAGTTTGAATTACATGTGATAAGACAGGGGTTAGTTATACATCTGTAAGGTAAAGCATACTGTATGTTTTTAAAAAGAAATTGGAGTAATTAAGAATCACCAGGATGTTGAGGAAAAACCCAGAGGAAATCTACACAATAATGGGGAGAACGTGCAACCTCCACGCAGAAAGCACCTCAGCAATTGAAGCCAGGGCCCCAGCGCTATGAGGTAGAAATGTTAACCACTGTGCTACTGTATTGCCCTCAGAAATTTCCATAGTCCAATATTGTAGCGTTTCAATATTTCACATACTGTATTTGAACGTGCTTTTTAATACGAAGTGACATTTTCACATTTTTGTGGGCAACATTCCCCATGTTCATGTTGAGTGCAAATAAGGTGTGAGAAGCATTGTGCAAGTAGATTATTCAGCAGCCTGTTGTCTTTGGCATTGAGTGGGATGAAGTCAGTAGTCTCTAGCTGCTAATGAACAGCTTTGCAGTAATTATATTAATTATAAACCTCAGAGGTCATCCTGCTTGTTTTTAATTGAAGCTTTTATTCTTGGAGACTTCTGATAGCTGTGACATTGAAGTGAGAGCCCATGTGTGGTCACCTACTCAGCCCAGCTTACCAGGAAGAGCTATAGGTCAATAGCCAAGAGAAAGACACTGCTGCCTACAGTGAGTCTGTAATAGTGATTATTTTCAGCCATTTCTGCTTTAATTCTGAAGGCCTCTTGGTAATGGTAGCTCTTCACTGTGCAGCTATAAAAAAGGATTACCGATTTGGGAGATACTTCTACAGTAACAGTTTTGACAATGCCTTACAGAAGAATTGGCACAGCTCAGTTTTTCAGCACCTTTGGAGTGTTTTGAGCCAGTGACACTACAGGGAGTCTTGTCACAGGAGTCTCTTTTCTTTTCTTTGAATGCATGGTACCTGAAAAGTGTTTCTAGACTTTGGGTAATACTGCAGTTTTGATTTATTTTTCTTCAAGATTAATGTTGACCAGCCCGCCAACAGTGGCCATATCAGTTTTATTTGAAATAGCAACACTTGAAATAACATTGCAGCAATACATCACTCAGCTGCTTTAGATTTCATCAAGTATTTCAAAGTATCCATTCTGAGAAAAATAAGTATCGATTTAATAAGATCAGCAAAATAGACTTGAGACTGTAATTATAAAAGTATTTGTTTAATGAGAACATGTCCTAATCTTGTGACATAAGATGCCCAGATAAGGTTCATGATACTTCTTATGGCTGAAATGTTTATATTTGAAGATATTTGTAAATACTATATTAGGAAAAAGGTGCCAGCAGTAGAAAATTGTTTTTTAGAATATGACAAGATTTTTTTTTTACCTGCCCAATCACAAAAGACTGACACACAAGGACACAACTGAGCTGTCTTGTTCACAGCCGAGAGTAACAATGTTGTATTAGTCTTTTGTGGATGCATCTGACACGTGGCAGCACCACTATTATCATCATATTAAGAAATATTATCTGACACAAGACGCAGGGTTAGAAATTAGTATCCAGGCAGTCTTCGTTGCATGATTGTCTATGAAGGCCATTTTATTTTCTGTAATTGCTAATCTGTTGGCAGGACTCAATACAAATAAGAGGCTAATTAAAAGCAAATGTATCCCACACATTAGGGATCCCTGTTGATGTAGAGGTTTGACCTATGATTCATTAATCCACCACTGTAGTCATGAATTACTTATCCCTTATTTAACACTGACTGGAGCTGCAGTATTGCACACACATGAGACAAAACAAGGTCAATAAACTGGAAATATGCAATGTCAGAAGTGGAAGAAAGGATAGCAGGGAAGCTGCCTACAGGTTAACTTGAGCACACAAACACACACAATCAAATCCGCTGTGTTTCCGAATAACTGTGATTACAAGAATAAAGAAGCACCACCAGTCCTTTCATTATTTTTGTCTTACACAGTTTTTCCCCATCTACATGGAAGGGTTGCCATAGTGACGGGGGGCTCCAAAGGAATTGGATACGAGACGGCAAGACAGCTGACAAGTCTGGGAATGCACGTTATAATAGGTACAGTATGCAACCTGATTACAGTAAACACCTGCAGGCCTCTTCTCAACACTAAAAACACAACGAATTTATGCAGGTTATATGAGAGAAAACACCCCATATCCTATTGTTTTTGTTAATTATATTTTCACTTTAATTGGTCCCCATTCTGCCCTGTCCTGTCTAAATTCATTTAACTGTTAACACTGTTAACATGAGTTTAAAAATGACCGGCTAATAACAGAACTGACAAGTAATTCATGTTTTGCATCGTTTATTATCTCCGTGCTTTGAAAATAGCATGTTGCACACAGCAAATTAAGAACTAATTGACAGAGTCTGCCAAAATTCAAAGTGCCATTTTAACCACTGCAGTTCAGAAGTTTCTCCCTGTTCATTATTCAGAATGTAAGCAACTGTTCCTTACTGAATATATAGCAGCAGAAAACATTGTTGTGCATAGGAGTTTTGTTTAAGTTGAAAGAGGAAATATGCAAAGAATTGAAACGGTTTTCAGGGTTCGGAAGCCATCCTGCAAAATAACAGCAGAATATATTATATCATCTTACAATCAGCATTCTGGGTCACATAAAGCAGGAACAGTGGTGCTTTACCCATTAGAAATCGGTTTCTTGCGGAGAACAAGGACAGTGGTAGCGTACCGACTCTTGTAATAAAATGGTTCGTGCTTTCAACGGCCTGTGCTATATAATGAAATTAGTTCCAAATTAAAGGTTTCTTAAATTCACTAAAATATCCGTCATAAATCTGCTCAGCGGAAGGGATTTAGGCAGGATTAATAATTTCCTTCTCTGCTAAAAAAAGCTACTGCACTTTACGATGCAGTTACAGCATTAAATACAAAAAGACAAATTGCAAGGACATGTGTGTCATTTGCCATTAAAGAAAGCCAGCTTGGCAGCAGCAACAGCCCTCACAGGGCCTTAATGGAAAAAACTAATTCAAGCCAGGGCTGATAGCGCTAGAAAGGTTTGACTCCCTTGGTCGAAAGGCTTCTTGTGGGGGCACCACCGGGTAATGAGTTGCCATAGTGAGGTTAAGAATCCTGTTGGGTTTTTTTGCATGAAGATGTGCAAAATGGGATGAGACAGGAAGCGCTTCTCAGTTTCTGTCATATTGAAATGACAAAATAACAAACTCCACTGACCTTTAATCTCCTAAACGGTCCATTTAAGCAAATTGTCTGGCATTCACAGTGCCACCAGTCGCATGGGATTATTTTCCCAAACTGCTCCAGCTTGGCCTCTCTCTGCCAATTAAAAGGCATGTGAAAATATCTGCCACACATCACGGTACACACTCTTCCTTGGTGGAAAGGCATTTCATAATCTGTAGTTGTGTTTGGTCCTCTGCAAGCACAGCGATCACTGAGTCGCTGTGTATAAAAGAGAATATTGAGTAGTCATGTGGGTTCTGTGTCTCAGAAAGTGGGACAGCATACTGTAGTTAAAACAAAGCACCGTTGTACAGAGCAATGACTCACACTAAACAGGCTTCACAGTAAGAAGTGTTTTCCCATCTCAGTGGGCCGATCTGTGCTACTGTTCCTAGAATAAATTAAGCCTTCAGTTTGGAGGTTGTCTTGTGCTTAACTGTTCAGTTTGGTTTAGTGGGAAAGCCTCCCTGCTCGTAGTGACTGAGCTGATGGAGTCCCAGCTTCATTTATCATGGCTTCCATTTATTCCATGACAAGACCTCGGTGATATCAGAGCACTCCATCTGCTTGGCCAGGTTTACAAGTTAAATTCCAGCTGGGTCCTAAAACTAGGAAGGCAAAGTAGACAATCAAATGAGGCTAAATATCAAATCCATAAGAAAGCAGAACTCATCTGGTAGCAGTGTAATTATGCACTCCATGGACAATATATGTTGGATATGCCAACATGCCATATGCTGGAAATGACATTACTAATGTCATTTACAAAAGTAGAATCACAGTGCATTGTATAAAATGCAACAAAAAGTGAAGTTATTGGGAGGCTAAAGTTAAGTGGTCTTAAGATGTCTTTTAGGTAAGGATTACTTTTTGTCAGAGCTGAAAATGCAACTCAACCTTTTTTTGGTTCCTATTCCCTTTGACTATTTGATAACCTGTTTTTTTGTGTGCTAGCTGGAAATCGTGAAGAAGAGAGTCAGAATGCAGTGAGGCGAATCCGAGAGGAAAATGTCAAAGGAAAAGGTAAATTGACAATTGTGCTTTCTAGTCCTTTTGTCAGAAATCAACGTAAGCAAAGTATTGCTCCATGTGTTTGAGAAACACTGATGTAAACCTGGCTTGGCTGTCAGGACTTTGTGACAGTGAGACTACTGAGTGATCAAGTCATGGGTGCAGGGTATGTAGATATGCCCCTCTGTAGATTAGGCTTCAGATTCTCATTTGTACATTTTAGTCTGAGTTAGGTATTGATTTAGCACTGATTCAATGCATTTATGCATATAAGTTATTAAATGGATATGTTTCCACTTCAGACAAAATCCTGGGTCCTACAAATTTCAGAGTACTGTATACTTGTGAAACATACCCAACCACAAAAAATCATATGTGTCCTCTGGCCCATTAGTGGGCAGATGTGTGCAGATACTGAAGAGTCTTCCCTCAGCTGTCATTTTTATTCTCTTTAGCACTGGGTTTTAGCAGGAGGGGAATAACACCTATGGAGTGTTTTCCCACCCCTTCAGTTATCATTTAATGCAAACCCACTCTAATACTGTAGAATCAACAGAGCTGTCTCACACAGCAGTCTTAGATGGAGGACAGCAATTAGTGGCATAGATGCATTCTGTAGCAAAAAAGAGTGGAATAGACATGAAAGAGAACTGTCAAACAGGCAGATCAATCAGTCTCTACTAGGCCAAAGTTTAATATCCTGCTGTTTTTGAATGGAGGCCAAATTTAAATTCATGGCGTTCCCTGAAGATCTCCTCAAAGAAACTGCTTCCCTTGACCTATGACTGTAGATCCAGAGAAAGTATGGAGTTTAATTTTCTTGGAAGTAAAAGAGAAAAGTTTTTTTTTTCCAAATCAAAGTAATGTTGCCTCCCACTGAAGCACTGCAAAAACATTTGGACTATATTGTTCAGCCTTCACATTTGTGCTGCTGTATGCATTTGGTATGTCAGTGGTTTTCTACAGGGTATTTTTGAGTATTATATAGCGATGGTGTGTCATTTAACTCAAACAAGGTAAAGATTTTCTGGCCACAAATTAGAAGGCAGGTGTTCGAGAACAGAGTAATTTATTTTCATTACTTTTGAGTCGATTAAGTCATCAAGGGAGTGATTTGCTAAGCTTGCAGAATATATCAGACGTGAGAACTTGGGGTTTCTGAATGCAATCTTCAGAAAGAATCGGCCAGTTTCGTAATGAATGTGAATGGGACTGAGCTGACACCATTTAATTAGTGTGGCAATCCAGGTCTATAAACATGATCTTGATATTCCATAGGAGGATAGACTAGCCTATTCCTAAATCCCTGTTTTTTTCGTGAAACTGTATCATAATTCCACAGAAAGGAGCCATTTTCACAACATGAAGAATATTTACTTTCAAAACCACAACATCAGAACATCTATGTGCGACCTGGGCTATGACAGACCTCCCGTGTCACTGGCATAGTTCAAGTGAGCACATAGTTTGGTTTCTGGGCTTCTGTGTGGAAGGACCTTCTGCACTTCTGTAGATAAAACAGGTCAAAGGCTTTAACACAGTTCATTTTAAACCATGAAACCCTACCTTTGCATCCTTTGTAACTAAGATGTCATGGGATGATTCTGCACAAGATGGCAGACCTAAATCCCAGCCTTGGTCCTGAGAGGCTCAGCCTAGTTTTTCTGACATCATTGAGTTCCACCGTGCCCAGGATAATACTGAGTGGGTAATACTTAAAAGACTCCAATGGAAGTTGTGAGAAGGTTAAAAGTCATAATGTTTTCTGCAGTCCAGTCACCAGTGCTGCTCCTGCCTGGGGAAATATCAAGTCACCCCTTATGATTGCAGATTTCTCCTGATTCTTTGTGACACTTCCTTTGAGGAGAAAGATCTGCTGTGTCTCTTTGTGTCACTCCAGACCGCCCTGTCAGTATGCTCCGTAATGCAGACGTCTGTTTTGTGACGCTTCTTGAATGGATTGCCTTCTTCTTTGCCCAACGCTCTCTGGTTGGGCTATTTCTGTAGCTTGATGAGGAAATGCATTGATTGCTGTCTCAGTTCTGAAAACACATCTGCCTTGCTTGTGATACTCGTCTTCTCTACATCCTCATAGCGCCTCAGAGCTCGGAAGATATTGCTGGTCTCAGGCACCTTGCTTTTTTCAATTCTTCATTCATGTTATCATAAATTGCCAATTTAGATTCATTCTAAGTCTTGAAAAGCTGGCTTCGCGTGGCTTCTTTTTTATCTTTGCTTTAATTTCTGGATTTTTGTTTTGGAAAAATAATATTTTGGGGCTTTGGCAAAAAAGGCTTTCTGGTCTGGGTACATTTTCAACAGTAAATATATGTTAAAATTTAATGTCAGATATTTTCTCTAATTCTAGACACTTGTGTCATACATAAAGGCATACATAGGAACATTTCTTTGGATAGCAGTTGATAAAAAAGCAGTGGACATCTGAATACAGTGCACTAATGAATGTGTTAGCATGATTAAAAGACCATCTTTTAAAAAAGGTTTTTAAAAGGTTCATCTTACTGAACCACTAAAACTCACTGCTGAAAACAAGCATGTGCTGTTGGCAACATTGTCTTCTGGTGCCTAATTCAATCATATGTAAGACAGCAAGGCAGTGCTTAATCAGGTGACATAACAATGAATGATTGAATGAGGGCAAAGTGTCAGTCAAGCTATAAGAAACTGCTCTGTAAAAGGAACTTGTTTTGTAAAGAGCAGAACTGACAGTCTTCACCTCAAGCCTGTTCTTAACTGGATGGTATTTACATGGTGTGCTTTGTAAAGGAATAATGAACAAGAACTGCAGCATTGCATACAATAGTATAGATACAGTTTTATAGACAATACTGTCAATTCAATGCAATGTGCAATGTTTGCCTCTGTTTGTACTTAGTCTGAAGTGAGATGCTAATTGACTAAATCTAAATAAGATTTTAAAGTAGTTTTGCGATTTTGACTGGGGATTTTTGGGGAATTTGTTTGGAACTCAAAATGTTGAATTCCATCATGAATTGCCTGTAAAACATTAAAACAGTAAAAAAAATACAATTAGGATTTGAAAACACCATTCTATTTTAAAACAAATGGAGAGGAGTTCTTAAATACAGAACTTGAAATTGTACTGATTAATTTACTTTTATTATATATTACAGTACTTTTACAACACGCTTTTAAACACAGCTAGAGCTACAACAGACTGAGATTGAAGCAGATATCAAATAGCTGTCATCAGTGTAGGACATGCTCATTATAACGAGACAAAAGAATAAAGAAATTAACAGCACCACACTCTGTCAAGTGGATTTATCTGCAATGTGACGCCAGCAGGTGTATTAAAACAGTCTATATTAATGGTGCACCATCCAATGTGCATTTATGTGAAAGCATACATAGCTGGCAGTGCTGTTTCCATATAGGAGAAAGGCTTCTGTATTTCTGTATTCTGTATAAATTCTGTATTTCACATACAGGTTGACAACATTCTGAACCTGAAATGGCAGGGGACTCTAACATTAAATTTGTACGGTTTAACATTTGTTGACAAGCTGCTAGAAGACAAAATATGGACTTTTCTGAGTCCATATTTTGCTTTACTTTTTTTTTTTCAGTAAAGCAGAGGCTGTTTGGATAGCCCTTTATTGATGTTCACTTCAAGGCTTCTTGTTTGAAGCCCAAGGGTGGGCAAGAGAAGAAAAAAAGCTCCATATGGCTGGGAAGTGAGGGAGGAAGTCCGGTTAAGTCTCCACAAACCACCAACACGCTTGGAGGAGCTACAGGAGAATGTTTTGAAAAAAAGATCTCTCAAAACAAATTAAAGCCTTTTTAGAAAAGAGGAGAAAGACACAACCACACATGCTAAAAAGTTTAAAATACAACAAATTCTGGCATGGAGTCATTTCAGATGTATTTGGAACATGGTAATGAGCCCCTTTCTTGTCATAACAGTTTTTGTCCAAGTTCTAGTCTGTGGCCCTAGGGTGCCTTCTAGGGGGACTCGATCATTTTACTTGGAATTTTCTCTCAGTTTTTGCATCCTGCAGGCACTATATATAAACAGAATGTAAATGAGCTGGTAGATAAGCGTGGCAGCCTGGTTTATTCATTCAAATTCCTCCTGGACACATTTTGAAGGTGGAAGTGTCAAAAATTGATTTTATTAGAACTCCTCACCATGATTTCTTTTTGTGAAAAAAAGAACTGATTTTAAAAAAATAAAGGATTTTGTTACCTTCCCGTAATAAAAAGAATTTAATCATTTCATCCTTTTTTTTCGTTTCACTTGTTTCTAAAGATATACAAATTGGAATTATTTCCACTTCAGCAAAACTCTGTACGTCTGTCGTAGTATATTACAGAATATTTGAAGGACTGCTTGAATTCTAAACAGATGTCTTCTGAAATTCAGAACAACAAACATCAATTAAAGAAATGTTAACTTTAGATTGAAAAAAGGGGGCAGACACATCTCTTGGCCAGCAATTTCCTCAAACATTGCTTCTTTACTGAGACAATACACATTTACTCTACCCAGGAGGTCAGATCAAATTGTGTCAATTATTTAGAGGAGGCCTGCAGGGAATAAAGAAATAAATGTAAAGGGAGTCAAGGTCCTAAAGGGATTGGGAGATCCAAAGTTTGCTGGAGGATGCTGGTTTAATTGCAGAAGTATTACTTTGGAAAAGGTAGTTGTTGTTCATGAATTTCCATGCACTATGCAGTATGGTTATTTAATACGTAAGATAATAAATACAGTAGTTTATTTCCTAACATGTTCAAGAAAAGTTAACAGTCAAGAAAGTCAAGAAAAGTTAACAGCTAAGCTCTAACATTACGAACATGCCATCCACTAAGGTTTATCACAACCCATGAGCTGCTGAAACAAACATTTCATTAGTTACGTTTCATGGTGTACATTGGAATTCATAACATGAGTGGAAGCTGTATAATTGACAGGATCACAGATTTAAATTGAATATGCTGTTGGCTCTCTGTATATGATAAGATTCTTC